CAAATATTTGACTTTTCGCTTTCCACTTCGGAAATCGAAAAGGTAGTTTGAGAACGATTTCTGAAGTGGAAATCGAAATGTCAAATAATGTCAAATTAACTTAATAAAGAAAACTTCAGAACAACACAAATAGTGTTGTACCATTCAGAATTGACATTTCTACTTTGTTCAAGTATAGGGGATACATTTACAGATCGAGAGTGTTTTCTGGCACAACAGCCAAATTTGGACGACCTGCTCCAAAATCAGGCTGTAGGAAACTGGTACAAGAAAATTCGGAAAATCAAATCAATACGATGGGTGGTGCTGGATCACCGAAAATCGTAGTGAGTTGACCTGCAGATTGTTGTTTTAATTAAATGTTTCAAATAAAATGGTTAAGATCTAATTTTGTTTTTGGATTAATTTTTCAAATCGTTCTTAACAACTCTATTACCATTCGTAGGCAGGACGTTTTGAGAAAGGTAAAGGTTAAACTTGTTCCCTGGTCCGGTCTGATCCAAAATCTCTATCACTGAAGCTGAAGCTTATTGTATTGGTCGCCCATTATTGTTTCCTACACCCAGTCTAGAATTTTTCTCTGCTGTACAAGTTTGTACAGGCCCTTTGTTGTAGAGCGCCTCCCAATCGCATAATACATGTTTCACAGTTTCTGGTTCCTTAATTAGTGCCTATTTATTCATTAACTCTAGTACTGGTGCGTACCCGGTAACATTTCTGTTACTGTTGTCTGCTACTATTCCTGACCGTATGTAGTAGCTCCTTTGTTTTTTTGTTCATGGCCCACCAATGAAAATTTTACCATGTGTTTGTTTTGGGATTCTTTCCCAATATCACCTATATCTTTCTCGGATCCAGTCCTCTACGGCCCTTCGTACTACAGATCGTCTTCGGTGCTCCCATAATAACAGATGCTCCGTTTGGTTCGTTCGATCCCTTTTTAGCAAGTTGATTTGCTTTTTCGATGCCCTGGTACCCAGACAAGTTCAACTTTGTTCCGATCTCCAAGTTCATTCAGTTCTTCGATGTTTCGTTTAGTTCTACACCAGTCTGGACGTCACGTCCTGACATATCAGTGTCGCTTATAATAGTTCTTGAAAAACAGCAGATACATATATCTGACAATTATGTATTTCAATCGAAAGACTGATATTTTTTTGTACACACTTATGACAAGTCGGAAGAAAATGCTATTCTGCCTACCTCCTCAGATCAAACAATGGTCGGGTTCTTACACCCGCACCATGACAAAAAATTTTTTTCAATTTTTTTAACGTGTTTGTGAAGTCCAGTGTCGGTTTTTTATATGTTTTTTTATGTTTTAAGAATTTCAACAAAAATCATAATTTTGAAATATAAGGAAATGAGATCTCTCCTTTGTAGTGGTATTTAAAAAATTGACCATAGCTCTGATGATGGCTTTGTAAAGCCGAAAGCGCTCAGCTAGGAATTGTCTAAAATATACACACTTCAAAAATACTTTTTTACATTTTCTTCCGACCAATTATGTATTTGCTTGCAGTATCGCATAAATCTCAGCTTGGATGACAGTGCAAAGCCCTTCAACCCCCTCAAGCAAAGCCTTCGCTAATTCTTTCGATTTTTGGAGTATATCCCTATCTTGTTTTAGATCCGTCTGTATACAAGATCTTATCCTGTTGGGTGTGGTATTCCCTGTTTCTCCGCACATATCTGTCTAGAACAGATACCTATTATGAATTATTAGAATTGTATTTTTTTGTCCTATTCCCTTCATTGTCAAGTGCAAGGGAGTCAATCATAGTGAAGCTTCCATAGATGCTGTTCGAGTGACGCGCATGGCACCAGCTCTCCACATACACACAAGTGTGTGCACTTTGTTTAGCTTGCCGTTAGCAGTCGTTTAAAGTTTCGTAGTCCACCACATCGTCGCTGTATAGATAATTGGGGGTTTGATCACCATGTTTTACACCCAGTGTAGCATGTCCGGTCGTAATGCCCATTTCTTCCCATACATGCGTCTGTAACTCATAAGAGTTGTTTATTTTTTCTATTTGCCGGTGCCAGATAAGTTTTGAGTCTTTTATAACACCTAGCTTCATTACTTCTCCCTGAATTAACTTCACAAGATACATCGCCCAAAGTTAGGGCCATTTTAAAAGATAATCGCGACTTGCCACTACAAATGAATATACAATCAGAATCTTCAAATAGGCTAGTCAAACACGTTGTGTTTAGATCTTCAAATTTATTTTTATATTAAATAACAAATTCATTAGCGGAAGCTAATTTAATTATTTACACAAACATTTGTGATGGATGGATTGAAAACATTATGATGGATGTCGACAGATAATATGAATCTCTGAAGTGACCTATAACCGTGTTAACAATATAATTGTAAAACTATGAAGAAACTTACTTAAAGTTGACATTCCAAGAGTTTGATATATTTTAATGCATTGCCCTAAATTGTTAATAATCAATGTTATAGTTATTATTGATATAATTGTTCCGGTATTAACATAAATGGAACTTCTTATTCATAAGTTTTCATTTCTTTCTGGTCTTTAAATTTATGGCAGCATAAAAAATGTATAATCTGTATGTATTGAAGTTTATCTGCTTTATTTATCATTATTTTTAAATCAGATCAGTATACATCAGTATACATATATAGTTTACCACTATCACTCACTACTTAATGAATTTTTTTATAACTTAGATCGTTGGTCATACACCCGTCAAATTTTATATACAAAGTTATGTGTGTAGTATGTGTGTTTACGACAATAACAAAATTCTAAGTCTCCCTATCAAAGGAAATAAGTATTCAGAAAGGTATACAACTGGGATGTATTCTCTCGTCAATTGTTTTTCTTCTTACCGGGGTGGGTATTGGTTGACTGCTCAACATGCTTCCATCTCACTCGTTCGGCGATGATAGTTTATTCGGTCGGTAGCCCCATTGTTCTGAAATTCGACCGTATGTTTTCTCCCCATCATATTCGTGGTTATCATAGGGGCCTTCTCCAAGATTAACTTGACAAGTAGGTGATTAGGGAGTCTGTGAGCCGGAAAAGCCCATATTAGACGTTGGGATTTAATATCGTAAGCGACGACGTTATACAGTGTCTAGCTAAGTCGGCACCATACGGGAAACTTTGTTATTTTTAGTTATGAAAAAAAGTTTCTTTATAAAAAGTTCTGAATTATTTAAAATCTAGAATGCAAGCATCAGATATCAATCTTTTTAGTCATATGCGTTTTATCAAAAAATATAAGTTTATGTAAAAGTTAACAATATCCACAATTCATATTTTTTGACAAACCGCTAAAAATATGATGCAGACTTAATTGGACACCCGCATTTATTCTCATTCGGTATTGGTTAGTATTCGGGTGGTATTCAATTTGTACTCTGAATATATTTTCCGTGAAGCAGTGGGAAAGCAAAAAGGATGGTCGTTTCAAAAAAAGTTAACTACAATGGTGGACAATTAATTTTTAATGGACAGATCAAAAAACTGTTGACAGCACCTTATCTTTCTAATAAACTCCTTAAAAAGATAAAATCAAAATACCTGAAATACCGTGAAACCCATAGACGATTAAGAGCCGAGATAAGAAAAACTATAGAGAAATGGTTCTCGGAGAGATGCGAAGAAATCGAACAGTGCGAAAAGGTATACGACTATCACAATATGCATAAGAAGATAAAGGAACTCACAACAAAGAAAAGCTACAATATTTTATCGAAAGGGCTGTGCGATGATAATGGAAATCTACAACTAGACCCCGCCAAAATAGTTAGAATCTGGGAAACTTATGGGAACAACTGTTTAATGATGACCGTCCCAGTGGGTATACACTGAGCAATGATGATACTGGCCCTTCTATTCTAAAATCAGAAGTGGAGAATGCTATAAAGGGTCTTAAAAATAACAAAAGACCAGGCAACGATAACGTATACGGGGCAGTATTGAAAATGCTGTGCGAAACAAACAGTCAATTTCTAGACTCACTCGTCAGACTCTTTAACAATATTTATAACAGCGGGGAGTTTCCTGAAGACTGGCTAGAGTCAACTTTTGTTGCCATACCGAAAAAACCAAAAGCAAAGTCTTGTGATCAACATCGGATGATAAGTCTAATTAACCACATTTCGAAGGCATACACCAAGGTTATTTACAACAGAATAAGCAAAAAATGCGAGGATAACATTGGAGATTCGCAGTTTGGGTTTCGGAATTCTCTTGGGACAAGAGAAGCACTTTTTAGTCTACAGGTACTCATCCAGCGCTGCAGAGATATGAACAAAGACGTGTACGTATGCTTTATAGACTACGCAAAAGCATTCGATAACGTAAAGCACGAAAAGATAATTGAAGTTCTCCATAAGATCGGAGTCGACTACAGAGACATTCGAACAATAGCGAGTCTCAATAGTGAGGGTCAAACAGCTAAAGTGAAAGTATCTAGATCTACATTGACCAATAAAATTGAGATCAAGAAAGAGGTACGACAGTGCTGTATCTTGTCTCCAATTCTCTTTAATATATACTCAGAAGAAGTATTTAAGACAGCGCTGGAAGAAAGCACAGAAGGCATAAAGATGAATGGAGAACTAATTAATAACATAAGGTATGCTGATGACACTGTGATTCTAGCAAGTAGCATGGAGGAACTGAGTTGCCTAATGAGTAAGATACAATAAACAAGTGCGCAATACGGACAGACTAAATATCACAAAGACCAAATGGATGTTAGTAAGCAAAACCCAACAACCACCACAGCAACTGATATTAGACAATGAAAGAATTGAACACGTGGATTCGTACATCTACTTGGGAACAAGAGTTAACTCAAATTGGGATCAAGCGAAGGAAATACGTATAGGAGTAGAAAAGGCAAGAGCATCGTTCACTAGCATGAAGCAAATTTTCACCTCTTAAAGCCTCACCCTACCTCTCAAAATTCGACTTCTGAAATGTTATGTATTCCCGGTTTTGTTATATGGAATGGAGGCGTGGACAATGATCGCAACATTGATGAAAAAAGTAGAGGCCTTCGAAATGTGGGCTTACCGACGTATATTACGTATATCCTGGACTGAGCACGTGACCAACGAAGAGGTACTACGCCGGATAGGTAAAGAGAGAGAGGTAGGAATAAGTATAAAGAAGAGAAAGTTGGAATACTTGGGTCACGTTATGAGACATAATAAATATAGAGTACTACAGCTGATCGTTCAAGGGAAAATAGACAGCAGAAGGGGTTCAGGGAGGAGAAGACACTCGTGGCTCCAAAACTTGCGGCAATGGTTCGGATTGTCATCTGCTGAACTATTAAGATCTGCCGTAAACAAAGTCAGAATAGCCATGTTGATTGCCAAAGTTCGGAACGAACAAGGAACATGAAGAAGAAGAAGAAAAAGATAGAGGCTTTTAAAATGTGTGTCTAGAGACGTCTTCTCATCAGTGACCTGGATGGATAGAGTACAAACGAAGCAGTGCTGAAAAGACCGGAAATTAAATTTACTATGAAGAAGGAAAAATTTTAGTTCTTTGGTCACGTGTCTAGAGGATCAAGATATGAGTTCCTGCAGCTTATAATCCAAGGAAAGATGGTGGTTGGACGAAGAAGCATGGAACATAGAAACATTTATTGACTGCGAAACCTTTGTGAATCATCGGTCGAATTATTCGAAAGTGCAATCAGCCATGTTGACCAGTGACCTACACAGGAGACATCGGACAAATGTAAGAAGAAGATGGTTTATGGTTAAACTTTTTTCTAGACGTTAAAACTGAGGTACAGCTTTTAGTTAGAAATAATTAGCTTTATAGTTTAGTCCCCATATATGTTGTCTTTAAGGATGTCAAATTTGAATAAGGCAGACAAATATTTGACATTAAAGCAGTCGTTTCGACTGTCATTTAATAACCATTGAAGAATAAATTGCTGCATTCTGAGTTTTATCTCTTATGCTTAATTTTAGTTAGGTACGTGTCCATATGGAAACACCGAAAAGAAGTGAGAGTAACATTTTTAATGGAGAACATAGAGTTAAGTTCTGCCATTACTACGTTCAGTTAAAAATTTAGTTGAAACGTAAAATGATAATTTCGTGTTTAAAAGTTATCGGCTAGATGCTCTGATAGGGGCTGTTAAGATATTTTTATTTATCTTCCGGTTTTCTATCTCCTTAGCGTCTTCCGAAACTAACCGATCAGTCTTACGGAGGAACGATGCGCTCTTACCATGAAAAATGTGTGGCTTCAGCCTTGAATCCACTTAATCACATCAGAGTGAGTCCGCCAGTTTGCTGAGCTATCGACCCAACTAGATACTTTTTAAAAAAAATTATCTCAGCGGTAGATTTTTTGATTGTTTGTATCTCCACAATGACCACAGGTATCTTCGATAACTGTACTTTTTCTTCAGATAGCCAAAATTATCTCTGTATGTTATTACTGTAAACGTCACGTAGGAAGATCCAACCTCGCGCGTGTGGCGTGTGCCGACTGTATCCGAAGAGATGGACAGTAGCGTGATTATGATTTATATATAATTAAATATATAAATAAATAGATAAATATGTACTGATTCGAATCGAATCAGTACGAAAATAAAGATTTGCACTGGTTCTTCGTAACTGCCCCCTACTATACTGGTTTACTATTTAAGATTAGATTCATGAAGTGTCATTCTGCAATGGATGAATTTCCGTTTAGTCTGAGGAGAATTTGTATGTGTAAACGTGTAGGGAGAGACTGTTTATCAGTGCTAATGGTGGAGAGTGCTGTTATTTAGATATTTTAATAGTATTACTTTAATTGTACAATGTGTTTTCCAACTTTTTGGCTCCTTCTCGACCAGGTCGATGACTGAGGGTTACCAAGCCGCGAGACTTCATCTATCACAAATAAACTCAGGTTCCAATAAACCACATTTCTTATTTACAATAATATTGTTGTTATTGTCAACTAGTACAGAGGGAACTCGTTTTTTAAGTATGTTGAATATTTATTTTACTTTTTTGTTCACATTAAAAAACTCGTGCCTAGATATCACATAGTCAATTTCCTCGCACCTTTTTCTCATCCATTTTTATTTGGCTAATTTTATCTCCCTTTTAATTGTTCTCTGTAGATGTCTATATTCTGTTTAATATAAGCCATCAATTCTTGTTTTTACTGAACTTAATTGTGTTTCTTGAACGATCTTTAATATATCTTTAATGCTCGTCTTACTTTGTTACTGTTAACGTGTTTCCTTTTTATTGTCGGATTGTAGAAAAAAAACTCTCAAACCCTTTAGGAACCTTGTTCCTTAGCTTTATTTTATACTCAATATCAGTACATACTACTTAGACATTGCATATTTCTACCATACCATAACCTATATGTAACGTCTTATACCTCTATTTCTAATCATCTGTCGTTCTGATTCACTCAATGACATAGAACATCACAAAAAGGATTAAGGGAAGTATTACACTTTACATTTATCACTGGTTAAATATGTTAACAAGTTGACCAGACCTTAAAATATATATTCTTACAGATTTTTACAACAAATATCTTTATAATGAATTAATATCCCTTAAAAGCCGGACAAATATATTGTATTCCAAAATTCGCTCTAGAATAAATAGTATTCAAAATAAAAAATGGAAATAAATAAAAAAAAATAAGAATTTGCCTCGTTAATTTACATCATGATAATGTCTAGGTAAGAGAATTTATTTCTCAATATAATATATCTACACATTTGATATAACAATAAAAATCAACGGTTAGTCTTTGATTACTAAATTACTAGACATACAAAAAATAAAAAGAATATAGTGTTTCCATCTTCCTCCACAGAAAATTTCAGCTTGTGTTAATTTTCTGTATCGGAAAAACAAAAAAATCAAATGACATAATAAATTGTGGTTGTTTCGTTTGTTCACTATACCCTTGGAACCACTAGACTGCCACCAAAACTTTCTGCCGACATATCATACCTCAACTCTTTCCATACGACTCTCACATCTTGTTATCAAGTTTTCGGCATCTCTGTGGTCTCCAAGTTCACAGCTTCGCCTATCTGAACCCTAAAAGTTGGAACTACACCGACGCCTTCTGGTGTAAAGCGCACTGTCTATCTGCCTGTCTGAAAGTGACTTATCACGGGACGAAGCTACTCCCCAGGTCTGATGCACGGAACAAACTTTCTAGAGGCATCTGGCAGAGCAAATAGCTATATCCCAAACAAACACTTCTTCTTTAAGTGCCATCTCCGCGACGAAGGTTGGCAATCATCATGGCTATTTTGACCTTCGAGGCAGCTGCTCTGAACAATTGCCTTGAGCTGCAACCAAACCACTCCCTCAGGTTCTGCATGCTTCAGAACTGCATGCTTATGACGTTGACCATCCCTTGGTTCATCCGCCTTCGAGATAGATTTCTCTATCTCAGGACAAAATAGTGCCCTTACATCTACCAGCTCCTCCGCTCAAAACCGTTGGCCAGTATTTGACTTGGTTCTATATCAACCCTAAAATCGAGGGTTGCCACTTACGCCATCCGCACCGTACCGAAGTTTTGCTTCTCCGCCGTAGCTGCTGTTGTGGACTTTATCCGTAACCCTGGACAAGGGACCCTAAACAGGTACTAGTTTCCCGGGTCAGCAAACAAACACTTAGATTTTGCTTATTCTGTTTTAAAAATCCACAACGCAATTCCAAAGTGCTAGGTAAAAACTTTATGAAATTTTTATGATATACATAGTCGTAGTGGATTGTCATGTTAATTGAAAACATTTCTAGCCAAGACTTGGCTCGAATGATCAACCAACCAAAGTTCGCTTTGCGCCAGTAGTCTGCCAGATCGCTGAGCCATCGAACCAGCATATTACTATGTTATTTAAAAGCTCTGATTTAAGAAATAATGATAAATTACGGGACACACTGTATATTTTTTTGTAGTTTTAAGACCATAATTTTATAATAGATTTTAGTGTACTGTTTGAGATTTTTGTAGGATACTGGGTAGAGCACTGTGACCTATATTAATATTTTCCCGTTGAGAGTGCTCTAGAAGTAGTGAAATTATAAAGGGTATATTTAACAAACACAAGTTTTTATTTTTTTATCGTATCATTGCTTACCATAATCATTGAATCCATTTAATTTTGAACGTTATTTACAGTACAAGAGTACACCATTGAAGATACTTGTTTTCATAATAAATTTTAGATTTTTTTAGTAAAAAATCTAATTTAATGTTACCTGCTGCTTTTTTTAATGCCGTCAAGCACTTCAGGATCTTCATGACGAGTTTCTCGACGAAAAACCCTTCTGCTCCTAAATGCCACCTCAATAATTTTGATGTCCCGGTAAATTAACCTCTTTTGTAGGCTTAATCGATAACATTATTTACGTGTTTCGTCGTACATTCTTAAATGTTTCTGATCCTCAGAATTGTTTTGTCTATCCATGCCTCTCCTCCCATATATTTCCTTCTATTATCAATTGCAGCTGCTCCTGTACCTCATTTATGTCTGAAGTATGACGTTTTTCTTATTTTTATTGTGTTTACAAACTACAATCGGGTGTTCAATTCTCAAAATTGTTTCACTCGTGATTCTGCTAGTCCAGCTGATCCACAACATTGCGAGGTTTAAGTACCTTTCCTATGTACATAATAATATACGTTGCAAAAAAATAGGAGCAGCATACATTCCTGCGTAGCTCCCCTTTCTACATGAATATGCTAATGATGTAACGAATATTCGCATATTTTTGCATATTCGCATTCGCGAAATTTGTGCGAATGTTTGCGAATATGAATAAAAAATAATAATTTGACGATTAGGTCAATAAAATAAAAATCCATTCACTTCTCAATTTTTTTTATTAAGAAAACTCACTTTATTTTACAAGCTTAGAAAACTATAAAATTGGAAAACAAAAAATAAATGATTTAATGTAAACAAACAAAAACAAATTATTCTCTGAAACTTTTATTATTCTGAAGTTTTTAATTTTAGATAATCATCTTGAAAAAGCTAAGAATTAATCAGCTACAAACTAAAATAGTCTATGTGTTTTTATGTAAAGAGTTTAAACAAACAAACATACAGCTGATAAAACAAACAAAACAACAGCCTGTGATTTGCTTATAGATCTTTTCCAAAAATATTAATTTTGTGTTAACAAGAATATTGCTCTCTCTTATTAAAAAATATCAATTCTCTGTTTTTACTTATTTTTCAAGATTTTTTTTCAATAAGTAAAAACAAAGAACAGTTCTTCTTCTTAACGTGCCCTATCAAGTCCCCTTGACGTTGGTAATTAACTAATTAATTAACATGGCGAAACTGTCCCTGTCTCGAACTATTCTAAAGAGTTGCTCAGCTTTCCTTATTC